CTGCCCGCGTGGTCCTGGTATTTCCAGTAAATCAAAATCAGCTGACACAAAACAAGATCCCATGCGCGAACAGTCATAAATTTAACTTGAGTGACTGCCGAATTCCTGGCAACTGGTTGCGGCAAAAATGAATTTATTGCGAATAGTGAATACTAAAAACATATGAACCAAGTCAGCTCTAGAAATTATGCTTTTATATGATGCATGTGAAGCGAAGTTTTGCCAAAGTCGATCGAATCTCCAGAACTGGCTAGACTCAGAAGCTATGGGAAGATGCAGTGAATTTAATGCCGATAATGGATGCAATCTTACCTGAACATCGAACACACCGAAAAAGCCCACCGGACTGTTACGTTTCAGAACAACTAAATAATGACCGGATCGGAGACAACGATAAAAATGCCTGAAACATCAGAAATCAGATATTTTTGCAGGCCATTAAAGCGTATATTAAAATCACTTCACAGCTCAGATTGCCTTGTTATTCCAGGTACATCGCAGCAACAGCCCTGATATGATACTGCAAATCGATCACCCATCGTAGACCGGACATCACTACTTGCAACATATGAACATGGAAAAGTCTGATGGCACGCTGATAACATCCACACTGATAAGCGGTCAAACAGGCAACTTTTGAGGCAGTGATGCTCAACATACACCAACGACATCTCGGAATGGCTAAAGTTTCGCCAGGCGCTTCTGCCATGAACGAACTGGCAGCCTCTGCAACTTCCAACAGGCTGAACGCCAGACGATGCAGCAGCACTGCTCAAAGCAACTGCAAATGCTCTCCAATGCACAGGTGGAGAAATACAGGTTAATTTGTTATTCATTTGCTTGCCTACTTAGTAACTGAGCCATATGCTGGATACTACCGCAGAAATGAAATACATAACAAGAGAGCGGTGAAAAAACGAGCACTGAGGGAATTATGGGGCTAAACAAAAGAAGAACTAAGGGGGGGGGGGCACACATATGAACAGTTCATCAAATCTCGGAAAGCCCGTCCCATTTGTCATAGCAACAAAAGTATATGATAATCAGGACAAGTCAACTGACCTTTTTGAGTTCATAGTTTGCAAAATCGACGTAGAGCAGACAATCGCGGAACTGTCCATCGAATTAATCCAACGAATAACAACTTCAACTAAAACACACATAATTAAAGAGGAAAAAGTGCGTATAAAAAAAAAAAAGAACGCGGCCAATTAGTACTTCGGAGGGTCCGGTGAAATATTTATCCAAAATTTGGGTTATTAAACCATACGTGAAATGTACGTATATTATACATCCATACACACCAAAGACACCCTCCAAACGCTTAAAGCCATGTTAAGTGCTTCTGCCAGGGGAGATGTTAAGCTGATAGACAACCGCCAGGGCAGCC